CTGACCTGGTCTGATGGCTTTGTGTCCATCCCAGTTGATGGCGCTTGCTGTCCTCAGTTTCCTGAGTCAGTCCTGTTCGTGACCCACATCGCCTTCCTCCTGAAGTAGCGTCTTCAGAAGGCGTGCACAGGAGACAAATTTTCTGATCCTTACGTATCTGAAATGAGGCTGTTTTACCCTCCTACTTTTACCCTCCTACTGAGAATTCGAGGTTCAAATCATTTTCCTTTAGAATTTTGAAACCTCCACTGCACTGTCTGTTTAGTGTGCAGGCTCTTATTCTGACTCCAGTGAGATCTTCCCTCGTAGGTGGTCTGATTAATCACGCTCCTTACCCCCCATGGAGGTTTTAGGATCGTCTTTATTCCTGGAACTTCTGAATTTTTCCTATGAATATTTCTCTGTGGGATGGTCATATTTTCAAGTCTCTTTGTTCTTCAAGAATGCCCCAACTTCATATTTTATCCTTTGTTGACTTTTTTGATTTGGGGGACAAAAGTAAGTTTAATTTGCAAGGCTATGTCCTTTTTCTATAATTGTCCCTTTTCCAGACTTTTCTTTTAAAGGTCCTCCTTTCCCAGTTGTCTCCGTTTGCTCTAGGGTTTCTGTTCCCTGTCTTGTTCTTTCTCACTCTTGGTGTAGGTGTGGTTATCTCTGTAAGTGTGAGAGCGAAGCGGTAGTTGTGTTAAGTGGAAGCTCTGTGCATGGCTGGGCCTTGTGGACAGCGAGGCTTGGCTTCAGGGCCAGTGGGCAAGATCCTGCTTTGTGGTAGGGTCCTCTCAGGTCTCCTGGTGTCCACGTATGGAGGCTTTACTCTGGACACCAGCTTCATGCTTGCCTGCTCATAAGACAGTTGGCTCAGTTCGCGCACACGCGTGTATGTGTGTGTGTGTGTGTGTGTGTGTGTGTGTGTGTAATCTTTAGTGTGCTAGGCCCTGTGCCGGGTACCACAAACACAACAGTGTACAAGGCAGACAGTGTCCCTACCTTTGTGGAGTTTTTATTCTAGAAGAAGATATTAGCATTTAACACCGTGTCTTTCCTTTCTCTGTTCTGGAAATTTGTTGAAGTCTCTTCTGATGGCCCTTCTCTGTGTACTCTTTGATATTGTAGGTTTATGGATTTTTTTTTTTTATTCCTTTACTATTTTAAAAATAATATCTTGGAAGGTAGAGGACTAGAATGGCATTTTGAATTTATAATACAGAAGCTAGATTCTGACCTTCCAGAAAAATTGTCATATGTGAATATAAAACCCTGAATTGTTGAGTGCTCAGATTCTGAAAAGAAAACAACTATTAAGAGTTTCCAGTTTAGAATGATAGAAGTTGGCTTCTCAGGGTATATAGCAGTCTTGAGAGAGACATTTCTTTTATACGATTGCTCTGTTTTTCATCAGCCTTATATGGACCTTGGATTTAGTCTTGCTTCTGTTGGGTAGACACATTGTTGATCTTATTAAGCCAGCTCTGTAGCTTCAAAATCAAATCCCAATTATTGATCCTCTTGTGTAGCAGCTGTTTTTAAAAAATGAGTGTTGCCTTAATTTCAAAACCATGTTGTATTGGAATGAATATGTATCTTCTAGAACCTGAGGAAATTAATTTCTTAAAGGGGTTTTCTACTTGGACTAGAAATTTTTCTGGTCTTTGAAGAACAGAAAAATTGGAGTGAACTACTTTAAGCATGCTTTTCTCTAGAATGGGCTACGTATCAGTAGAGTTCATGTTGTTTTTCAAAACGGCTTTTGCTTTAACCAGAGCTGACTTGTCTAACGTTTTCCTGAAGCAGCCAGTTTAATATATATATATATATATATATATATATATATATATATATATATATTTTTTTTTTTTTTTTTTTTTTTTAATGTTGGGAGAACTGTTCAGCCTGGGAAGAAGTGTTTGGGGTGGGTTTGCAGGGGTGCAGGGCTAGAATCCATATAATACTGATGGATTGCTGAGCTGAAAACCTGAGTCTTGACACAGGAATGAGAAGACTGGAGAGCAGGTATGTAGGTGATCTTATTTAAGGCTCCATCCTCCAATAAACACACCTGAGTGATCACCCTTGAGTTCTCAGAGACACAGTATAAAGCCCACTCTTGCGAAGGTGTCCTGGGCTGAATTTAGTTGCTCAGGGTCTTTAGAGTGGCGGTCTCTTCCAGCCTCTAAAGGAAGAGTGTTTTTCAAACAACAGGACTCAGTGTATTAGGTAGATTATGAAATGAATTTATTTATTTATTATTATTATTTTGAGACAGAGTTTTGCTCTTGTTGTCCAGGCTGGAGTGCAATGGTGCAGTCTCTGCTCACTGCAGCCTCTGCCTCCCAGATTCAAGCGATTCTTCTGCCTCAGCCTCCTGAGTAGCTGGAGTTACAAGCACCTGCCCACCACATCCGACTAATTTTTGTATTTTTAGTAGAGACGGGATTTCACCATGTTGACCAGGCTGGTCTTGAACTCCTGACCTCAGGTGATCTGCCCACCTCGGACTCCCAAAGTTCTGGAATTACAAGCATGAGCCGCCACACATAGCCATAAAATCAATTTACTGAACTAAACCACTGTTAAGAAAGCTTACAGGCTGGGTATGGTGGCTCACACCTGTAATCTCAGCACTTTTGGGAGGCCAAGGCAGGCGGATCAGGAGGTCAGGAGTTCTAGACCAGTCTGGCCAACATGGAGAAAACCCATCTCTACTAAAAATAGAAAAATTAGCCAGGCATGGTGGTGTGTGCCTGTAATCCCAGCAACTCGGGCGGCTGAGGCAGGAGAATCGCTTGAACTTGGGAGGTGGATGTGGTGAGCCGAGATTGCATCACTGTACTCTAGCCAAGGCGATAAAGTGAGACTCCATCTCAAAAAGAAAAAAACAAAAAAAAACCAAAGTTCACAGTGAAATGACAGAAAATATCACTGCATTACACATGGTAAGGTATTATTTTTGATACGTGGTGGAGATTGGGTCATGATACAAAATGTGTTTTCTCTCTTTTCTTTTTTTTTTTTTTTTTGAGACTGGGTCTAGCTGTGTTGTGCAGGCTGGAGTGCAGTGGTGCAATCTTGGCTCACTGCAACCTCCGCACCCCAGGCTAAAACAGTTCTTTTACCTCAGCCTCCCAAGTTCCTGTAGGTGGCTAATTTTTGTTGTTTGGTGTTCTTTTTAGTAAAGACAGGGTTTCATGATGTTGCCCAGGCTGGTCTCAAACTCCTGGGCTCAAGCAGGCTGCCCCATCTTGGCCTCCCAAAATGCTGGGATTACAGGCGTGAGCTACCAGGCCTAGACTAAAATGCATTTCTTAGTTTGGATTTTGGAGATGTTTAAAAAACACTTTTCTAAAGAAGGATGGGGAAAAACTAGGTGAAAAAAGGAAAAAGTTGGCTTTTCTAATGTAGTTGATTAACCCATTCTGTGGGCTTCGCTGTAGCCCATTGTTTCTACCTTCTTGTGGCGATTTTTGTGAAATAATTGGGGAAAGTAACTGCTCTCTGCATGTAGTAGATTAAGTTTGAATGTCGTGGGCAGAAGGGTGAGTATGTGTATTCTAACTATGCTCTGAAGCAGAGATGTTATTCCAACTCTGTGCTGTCTGGTAGAAAGCCATAGATGCACTTTTATTTCATAGTAGTTTCTTTGAGATCAATTAAAATAATACATTTTATTAAGTTATATCAATAGGTAGTTAATATAAAATATTATTAAAAAGACATTTCCTTTGTTTTTATAGAAAGTCTGGTGTATATTTTATACATACAGCACATCTCAAACTGGGTGGTCACATTTCCAGTGGTAAATGTCACGTGGGGCTCACGGCTGCCATATTGCACAGTGCAGCTCTAGCTCACATAGGCACGCACTGAAGGCCAGAAGGACTCTCACACCACCCCCTGCCTTGGGAACATGGGTTTCCTTTGCTGTACCACAGAGGGAACAAGAGCCAACACTTCTGAGCTTCTGCTCAGCACCAGGCAGGGTTTGAGGCACTTTAGTTAGTCTCCATCATCCTCACAGCAGCCTTTTCAAGTGGGTGATGGTGGCGCCACTTTATTGATGATGAGATGTGGCTCAAATAGGTTACATAACTTGTCTGAAGTGACCTAATATGATAATTGGTAGATTGGAGCTAGGATTTGAACCTGGTTTGCTTGATTCTAATGCTTGTTCTTCTCATTTGCCCAATGGCTTCCCACAGCATGCTCAGAGGGTCATTTTAGAGGGCGTCTGTCAAATCTCCTCTTTGTATAAGTGGGGGAGATTGAGCCATTGGAGGATTGCAGAAGTATTTTGTGGTGAGAGCTGTGATCCGGGAATTAAATAACTTTGTTCTGATGATAAGAGCACATTTTAAAACATCCAAACAATGAAGAAAGATATGAAGCAGAAAGAGAAAGTCCCATAATCCCAGTTCCCAGAGTTAAGCACTGACTTTAGGTGTATATTCCAGTTTGTTTTTTTTTTTCCTCAGTGCATATATAGTCTCAAATACCTCCCAGAGGTGGCGCAAAATTATACATGTTGCTTTGCCACTTGCCTGCCCTCCCCACCTCAGGGGGTCATGGACGTCTTTCCATGTTGGAGCTCAACTCAGCGAGCTCTGGTACTGCTCTGTTTTTGACCATGAGGGATCTGAGGCCTAGAGAGATTAATTAAATGTCAACGTGAAGTCTCCCAGCTGGAAGGGATGAAAATGGCCAGGCACTCAGCTAATATTCGCCCTTTTTCATTCATAGCCAACCTAATTTAACCTTTGTAATCTTTTCTCTCTTGTTTTTCCTTCCAAGGGTTCCTTTCTCAGAGATTTCCTTTGGGATTTAAGGGCCTTCCTTTCTTTAGAAAATCTGATGAGAATTGGAGCCATAACTCTATCACTCAGTCACTTCTGAAACTGGCTTTTAGTTTCTTTCTTGGTATCTTTCTCCTTTCATGGCCTCTGGATCATACTTTATTTTTTGTGAGATAAAAGCTTTCTTAGTAACATTTCCCTCCATTTTTGTAGTTCCCAGTGACCTGACCGCAGAGGAGCGTCAAGAACTGGAGAACATCCGACGGAGAAAACAGGAGCTGCTGGCTGACATTCAGGTAGGAGAGAAGCACGGTGGTGTCACCAGTGTAAGAACTGTGGTGACAGTTCCATTTGTATCAAAGTGTGTCCTTTGCGGAGTGTCTCCTCAAGACAGTGTTGACCTGCGCTCATGACAGCTCTGCCCAAAGTGTAGGTGGTGGTATCACCTTTGCTCTCCAGTGAGTAGATGGAATGTCAGAGGTTGAATGGTTGTCAAGGTTCACCCAGTGGGGCAGTTGTCAGAGCGGAAAATACCCTGTAGGACTCCTGTCTCCTGAGTAGCGTTCTCTGCTGTGTCTGCCCTCGTGGAGAGTGAATGAGGAGAGGCAGTGAGAATGTGGGCTTCAGGCGAAGCTCGGCCCCCGCCCCAGCCCTGGCTCTGCTGCTTTCTAGCTAATGATTTGAGACAAGAGAGTTCCGGTTTCTTGAACTTCGGTTTCTTCATCTGTCCGATCATGAAAACACCTACTATGCAGTTGTTGTGAGGACTTTGCATAAAAGACAGCATTATTTCTGGTACCTGTAGATAGACTTAGTGATAGCAATTTTACTGTTTTTCCAAGTTCCTTTTCATAACTATCCAGCTTTGTAAGAAATAAGTCTAGAAGCCAATAGTTGGATTATTTTCACCCTAAGGCATCAAATGTCATTCTTTTAGAATTCTTTGTAAAACATTAGGGGTGGGGTTAAAGAGGGAATCCTGTTACCCAAAGTAGCAAAATGAGGAAAGACTTGACTTGCTCCACAGTTGATTTGAGTATATTTTGATAGTTCTCCCTGATCCTTTGATTTCTCCTTCACTGGTAGATCCCGAGAAAGCTGAGCAGTTCCCCACTTAAGTCCCGCTTCCTGGTGAAAAAGAGTCCATCCATCTGGACCAAGGGTGTGCTGAGACGAAGAGGGTGGGTGTGGATGCAGTCGATTTCATCGGACATTCCCTGTGCCAACCACTTGGTGGCAGTGTTGCCCTGGCTTAGCTACTGCTGGCTCTGCATCTTGGGCTTTGGGCAGGAGACTTTGTCCCCTGAGTTTTCTGGCACACTTGTGTTTAGTAAGCTGCAGATTTGTTCTGAAAGATTGTGATGAGGCAGCCAGTTTTTGTTTATTACATAATATATATGCTTACAAACTTTCCTAGACTGTAAACTCTTTGAGGTCAGAGCGGTATCCTTTTCTACCTTGGTATTTTCTAGAATGCTTGTTATTTGGTAGGAACTCAATAAATATTTCATTTATTTATTTCGAGATGGAGTCTTGCTCTGTCGCCCAGGCTGGAGTGCAATAATGCGATCTTGGCTCACTGCAACCTCTGCCTCCTGGGTTAAAGCGATTCTTCTACCTCAGCCTTCCAAGTAGCTGGGACTATAGGCACCTGCCACCATGCCCAGCTAATTTTTGTATTTTTAGTAGAGATGGGTTTCACCATATTGGCCAGGCTGATCTCAAACTCTTTACCTTGTGATCCGCCTACTTTGGCCTCCCAAAGTGCTGGGATTACAGGCATGAGACACCGTGCCCAGCAAATATTTCTGAAACAGATGAATTTTCCTAATTTACTTTTTTGCGTTTTTGTCATATTTTATTTCATTTTGGTTTATTTTATTTTGTTTTTGGTTGGAGGGAGTTATGTGAGATTTTAGAAGTTTTAATTTGTTCTGCATCTCCCTTTCCTGCTAACTCTGTACTGTCTGTTTTATAGAGGCTGAAGGATGAGATAGCAGAAGTAGCTAATGAGATTGAAACCCTGGGATCCACAGAGGAAAGGTGAGTCTGCCCTGCTGCCAGGTGGCTTTTGCGGTTGTACTTTCTTAAAGCACCCAGCCCTTAATTACCCTTACATGGCACACTGAAGGAAGAAGTCAGCTTTGTGTCTTTCTAGTCCTAGCAAGCACATATACTTCCATAATGTCTGCCTTCCATCCTTCACTGCAAGGCCTCCTGAACACAGGAGCTTCTTTCATTAGTTAAAAAATTGAGCTGAAGGCCTGGAGCAGTGGCTCACACTTGTAATCCCAGCACTTTGAGAGGCCGAGGTGGGCGGATTACACAGCCAAGAGATTGAGACCATCCTGGCCAACATGGTGAAACCCCATCTCTACTAAAAATACAAGAATTAGCCAGATGTGGTGGCGCACACCTGTAGTCTCAGCTACTCCGGAGGGTGAGGCAGGAGAATCACTTGAATCTGGGAGGTGCAGAGGTTGCAGTGAGCCGAGATCACGTCACTGCACTCCAGCCTGGTGATAGAGCAAGACTCTGTCTTAAAAAAAAAAAATTGAACTGGAGAATTTCAAGGGTCCCAGAAAGCCTTAAACTGCTCCTAAATTTTTATGTGAATTACTGCCCTCTGTCGTCCACTGTGTGTGTGTTAAAGTTTCTGGTTTTCCTTTGTGTAAAGGAAAAGCTTAATGAGTGCTGCCGATACAGTTTCAAAGGGCCGGAGTGCGCAGTCAGGTCTGAGTATGATCGTGAGCTTACTTGCACCTTCCTAATGCTTAAGGGAAGAAAATGTAGCAATGCAGTGATAGTATAAAAGGACAAGGACTCTTCGCTTTTTTTTTTTTTTCTTTTATTTACATGAAATGTTAGTGACTTTGAGAGTTTAGTTTTGAATGGGGCTCCTAGACCGTTTTCTGACTGCTTAATACAATAAATGGGCTGTTTCCAATTCACTACATGTCTGTATTTTTCTAAGCCTAAGTACTCCTGTCTGGCTTCGTAGGACTGTTTGATTTGTTGTTTTAGACTCCTTTGGGCAGTGCCATGAGGATTTAGTGAGGCTGAGGATTCCACAGAAGGTGGCCAGCTCATCGCCATGGCCAGTCTCTGTGTTGCCCATTTGGTATTTTGGATTAGTTTCCCCTGTTTGCATTTTAAATAGTTGTAGCTTAAATAAAGTGGATACTTTAGAGTTCATAAAAATTTAAAACTTCTACTTTTATAAAAGATAAACTATTAAAAGAAATGAACAGGCAACAGATTAGGAGTAAATATTTGTACCACACATACCTGAAAAAAGACTTGTATCTAGAATATATGATAAAAAGGCAGCCCAGATAAAAAAACGGGGCAAAACCTTGGACACTTTACAAAAGAAGCTGCACGTGTAGTAGACATATGAAAAACGCTTAACGCCATTACTTGTAAGGGGATGCAGTTTAACACTGCTATGAAATGGTATTTCACATCCACTAGGATGGCTAGAATTCACAAAGTTTGATGGTACCGCATGTTGGCGAGTGCTAGTGAGAATAAAATGGTGTAACTATTTGGGTAAGAAGTTTGGCAGTTTCATCAGCAATTCAACTCCTAGTTACTTAAGAGAAATGAAAACATGTCCATACAAAGACTTGTACAAGAACATCTATAACATTCTTATAGAAAATAACCAGGACCTGGAAATACCCTGAATCTCTGCCAGCAGGTGAATGGATAGATCGATGGAGGTAATAGGCAGTGCAAAGGAAGGAAACTACTCAGGTGCGGCAGCACAGGTGAATCTCACGAACAGTGTGATGAGCAGAAGAAACTGGGGGTACCATGTGCTTCCATGCATGAGCATCTGGAACAGAGAAACGAAGCTGTGGTGGCAGAAATCATAGCAGGGGCTGCCTTCAAGGTGGTTGGTGGGGAGGGGGTGGACTAGGAAGGGCCATAGGGAACTTACAGGGATGACAGGAATATTCTGTATTAATATGAGTGGGGCTTCAAGGGTATATGCACTTAACAAATTGAACTGTACAGTTAAGATGCGTGTATTCTGTTAAATGTAAATTTTACCTTGATCTTGAAAATGTTTTAAAAAATGGCTTTTTTTTCAGATTATAAAGGTAATATACCTTTATTGCAAAAAACTGGTAAAATACAGAAAAATATAAAAACAAATTTCTCATAAACACTCATCTGAGAGATAATCAGGATTCATATTTTGGTATGTTTCTTTTTTTTTTTTTTTTTTTCTTTTTTTTTTTTTTTTTGAGACGGAGTTTCGCTCTTGTTGCCCAGGCTGGAGTGCAATGGCGCGATCTCGGCTCACCGCAACCTCTGCCTCCTGGGTTCAGGCAATTCTCCTGCATCAGCCTCCTGAGTAGCTGGGATTACAGGCACGTGCCACCATGCCCAGCTAATTTTTTGTATTTTTAGTAGAGACGGGGTTTCACCATGTTGACCAGGATGGTCTCAATCTCTCGACCTCGTGATCCACCCGCCTCGGCCTCCCAAAGTGCTGGGATTACAGGCTTGAGCCACTGCGCCCGGCCGGTATGTTTCCTTTCTGTCTCTTTTGGTGTCCACACACACAAATTCAGAATTCAGTGTGCCTGCCCTTTGTTTTTCTCTTGTTCAGTTCTCTGTCAGTTACCATAAAACAGCAAGGAAATGCAGACACTAGGAATGTGAATGCCTCAGCATCCAAAGTACTCAGCCAGTGAATTTGTGAAGTCTTGTCACTCATGAATGAAATCTGAAATTGTGAGTCAGGGAGTGGTCATTAGGTTATTATTATTATTTTTTAATCTGGAACTTAAAATGAATTTCCAGTATCGAAAGCCCCAAGAGGGAAGTGATTCTGCAGATCCCCGAGGATCCATCTGTATGGGCACTCGGGCTCACCCTGCATTTGTTTCTCAACCAGGTATTACATTTGCTCAGACTTTCCTGCAGGAAAGAATTCATGTTTCTCATCAACAACCTGATGCCAACATTATGTAGGAATGATTCTAAATACTGTTTAATAAAGCAGAAATAGTATACTCATATAGTACAAGATTTAACTTTCTGGAATGTATACACATCGGTTAACTGGCCATCTAGTAGCAGTAACAGCTATTTTGCTTTGGACATCTTACTGGGATGTCAGGCCTTTGCAGAGACTGGAGAAAACCTCTTAGAGAAGTAGGTGCCTAGAGACTGGAGTGATAGGGCCTCCAAGTGGGACAGATGAAGTGAGCTGGCTCGCTAATGAAATAAGGGAGCCATCTCTAGTGTGTGTCCCAGGCAGTCATGCGCACAGATTGTGACTGGCAGAGATCTGGGAGTGTGCATTCTGATGGCTGCAGGAAAGCCTGTGGTGAGGGACTGGACTGAGGCCCGGGAAGTTGAACATTCCCAGTAGTCTCACCCCGTGCTTCTGTGGACCCTCTGATGCTGCCGCACCTACACTGGAAACCATGAAACAGACCTTTCCTTGTGGTATTTGTTTGGAAATACTGATCAAAGTTATCTTCCTGGATTTAGAAAAAAATGATTAGACAATTATTTTAGTTAAGTAGGAATTTCTAGATAGCTGGTTATAATCCTTCATTTTGGCTGAAATTAAATGGTGCTTCCCTGTGACCGTGTGACTTTGTTTCCTAAGGTAGCTGTTCTCAGGGGATCCCAGATTATCTAACACCTGGAAGTTCTGATACTACTCACAGTTTTTAAGTGTTCCTTTCAAAAGGTCAAAACCAGCTGGATTTGATGGGTTACACCTATAATACCAACATTTGGGGAGGCCAAGTTGGGAGAATTGCTTGAGGCCAGGAGTTTAAGACCAGCCTGGGCTACATAGCAAGACCCTGTCTCTACAGAATATTTTAAAAAGTAGCCAGTTGTGGTGACACCTGCTTGTAGTCCTAGCTACTCAGGAGGCTGAGGTCAGAGGATCACCTGAGCTCAGGAGTTGAAGATTGCGTTAAGCCAAAGTGACACCACTGTACTCCAGCCCAGATGACAGAGCAAGGCCCTGCCTGTAACAACAACAACAAAAAACAAACAAAAAACCCAACCCTCAAAACGCCTAGAAGTATTTTCTTCCTTCCATGGATTTAGCCAGAGAACACATGTGTTCTTCAAGACAATAATATTTCATGATTTTATTTCTGAGCAACTTTTTTGCTCTCAGAGATTTAAAAATTACTATTGATGGCAGTGGTTCTTAAATTTGGTGCACACCGGAATTACTGCTGGAGGTTTTAAAAATGCAAATTCCTGGGTTCTGCCCCTTGTGCTTCTGAATGACTCAGCCAGTCCAGGGCCTTTCTACGCAGACTCCACACATGGGACAGTGTCAAACATACGGAAGCACAGGCTCCTTCTCAGACGTAGCGTCAGCATCTGTTTTCATGAGGCCCTACGTGATACGTATGTAGAAACAGGAGCGGAGATTCTTCATGTCTGATATGCTCCCAAGGCTGCTGGTTGGTGTACCATATTTTGAGAAACATGGTCTGTGAAATTGCATTTTTCATGGAAAGTGCCGATTATCTAGCAGCTGCTTAAAAAGTTAAATATAAGGCCGGGCGCGGTGGCTCAAGCCTGTAATCCCAGCACTTTGGGAGGCCGAGGCGGGTGGATCACGAGGTCAAGAGATCGAGACCATCCTGGTCAACACGGTGAAACCCCGTCTCTACTAAAAATACAAAAAATTAGCTGGGCATGGTGGCACGTGCCTGTAATCCCAGCTACTCAGGAGGCTGAGGCAGGAGAATTGCCTGAACCCAGGGGGCGGAAGTTGCGGTGAGCCGAGATCGCGCCATTGCACTCCAGCCTGGGTAACAAGAGCGAAACTCCGTCTCAAAAAAAAAAAAAAAAAAAAAAAAGTTAAATATAAATGTACCGTATGACCCAGCAGTGTCCACCCCGGGTATGTACCCAAGGGAAGTGAAAATATGTGTCCATACAAAGACATGCACACAAATGCTGGTAGCAGCCTTACGCATAATCATCCCAATCTACAAACAGCCTATGTGCCAGTCATCTGGCGAATGGATAAGCAAATGTGGTTTATCCATACAATGGAATATGATCCAGCAGCAAGAAGGCGTAGAGTACTGGCCCACACTCCAGCACGATGACCTTGACATTATGCAATGAAAGAAGCCAAACATTTTGTGATTCTCTTTATACGATATGTCCAGAATAGGCGGATCTGTGGAGACAGCAGATAGATGAAGAGTTGCCTGGCGATGGAAGTGGGAGCAAGGACAGACTGTAAAAGGGTGTGAGGGGTTCTGTAGGGAGACGAAAGTGTTCTAAAACTGGATTGTGGTGATGTCGCACAACTTAGTTTCCTAAAATTCAAATACATACCTACAGTGGGAATATTATATGAGAAGTCAGTTACACCCTGATAAAGTTTTTACAAAATCATGTTAAAAGAAAACTGGCCGGGTACAGTAGCTCATACCTGTAATCCCAGCATGTTGGGAGGCCGAGGCAGGCAGATCATTTGAGCCCAAGAGTTCGAGACCAGCTTGTGAGACCCTATCTTTACCAAAAAAAAAAAAAATATATATATATATATATATATATATATATAACAGCATGGTGGCATACCTCTGTGGTCCTAGCTACTTGGGATACTGAGGTGGGAGGATCACTGGAGCCCAGGAGGGAGGTTGCATTGAACCAAGATGGCAACACTGCACTTCAGCCTTCAGACAGAGAGAGACCCTGTCTCAAAAAAAAAAAAAAAAAAAAAAAAGAACGGAAAACCTCCGATCCAGGGTAGAAAGAGCAAGTGAGCATGGAGCCAGGTTCATGCCACAGGTTTCATTTGACCTTTCATAGCTCCACCAGATTATGCCTGTTTTCCTGGATAAATCTTTCAAAAATCTGTGTAAGTCAGTGGATGCGTGTGGAAATGGTATTAGTCTTTCAAACCTTTCCAGTGGCCTGAAGTACTAAAATGCTTGTGATGGTTGTTTTACAGGAAAAACATGCAGAGGAACAAACAGGTAGCCATGGGCAGGAAAAAATTTAATATGGACCCTAAAAAGGTAAGTGAGAGAGAAGTGGGAAGTGGTCCATAATCTTTAAGATGGGTTTTTTTTTTTTTTTTTTTTTTTTTTTTTTTATAATAGTGCTCAGATAGACCCTAAAGATGTTTTTTTCCAAGTGTTACAGTTTATGTCGCCGTTTTATAGAGCAGACGTCATGTGCTAAGCCCTGGTTCCTAAACTGTGACTCCCTAGCTTTTTAGGTCAATTAGCAGGTGTTTATTAAATATGCCAGTGCACCCACACCCATTTCTTCCCGTGCCCTCTCCCTTTCTTTTTAGCTGGTTCCCAGCACAGCATCATTGGCGTCTTCGTTGTCTTTTTATAGGGGATCCAGTTCTTAATAGAGAACGACCTGCTGAAGAACACTTGTGAAGACATTGCCCAGTTCTTATATAAAGGTGAAGGGCTCAACAAGACAGCCATTGGTGACTACCTAGGGGAGAGGTAAGGCCCTGGGGGTGTGCAGACGCTCGGGAAGGCTGTTCAGGAATTACACAGGGAAACAAACTCCCAAACACCCTTAAGCTCTTGGAGGGATTTTTGCCTTAAAGCATCTGTAGCCACACTGGTGTTGAGGGAGGCTGTTCCAGGGAAGAGTGGTTGGTCTGTCTGGGGGTTCTGGGGGATACACATCTTGCTTGTTTAGCCCATCAACAGAGCTAGCCAGTTTTCTTGCTGACAGTGTGCGTGAGTGGCTGTCTGGACAGCCGTAGGACTATAGGACGCGATGTGGGAGACCTGGCCTGGCTGGAGATTCTCAGGGTCGGTGTCTGACTCCTGCTTTCTCTCCCATTTTTTGTCATTTCTCTATAGAGATGAATTTAATATCCAGGTTCTTCATGCATTTGTGGAGCTGCATGAGTTCACTGATCTTAATCTCGTCCAGGCACTACGGTGAGTATTCTTGAGGTGAGCACCTTTGGAAGGAGTGGGAGGCCAGCCTTGATCATGAGTCTGTCTTGGGGGGCATTTTATTGAAATTCCATCTTTGGGTATGATTTTGAATATCTTGAGGTATTTGGGAGGTAAGAAATCTATTGGCCTCTGACCAGAAATGACTGGGTAGTCAAGGGGAATTACCTTTTGTTATATCCTGAGGCAGATTCTCTAACACTCTTCCTTGAGTCTTACATTGGAGGTTTTAGAAATTGAATACTAAATTATGAAATTTTTCATCTTCAATTTAGAAAATCCTTTAATTTCCTGCCCTGGAATAAGTAGTTGTGCATTTCATTTTGGAAAGAAAAAAGTAAACTTTAATTTTTTATTAAATTTGTTACTTTCTACCTTTTAAGAAACTCATTCCGTATTTTCACTGCTGTAGGTGTAAATAATGACATCATCTTTTGTGCTATCACTTAGCTGGATGAAAATAATCCACAGTTGAACCTGTCAGCTGTGGGTCTTTCTTTGACTTAAAGGGGTCAATTGTTAATGCTTTGACAAGACAGTCATCTCTTTTTGCCACCCATGTTGTTTTCTGAAAATAGAATTTGTTTAAAATGACCATTATATATGTTTCAGTCTTGCGTATTATTCTGAGGAGGGAAACAGTTCCTTAGTAGGAAAATCTTAATTGTTCATTTTTTCCTAAGAAATATTTTACTTTTGATTAAGATAACAGTGGTGTGGATGGCAACTTTGCATCCGTTAGAGTTACAGTAACAGAAGGCTGAAGCTCAGTGGGCTCTCTTTGCACTTTGATGTTAAAAAATCATCGGCAGTGGCTGGGTATAGTGGCTCACATCTGTAATCCTGGCATTTTGGGAGGCTGAGGCGGTGGCTCACAAGGTCAGGAGTTTGAGACCAGCCTGGCCAGCATAGTGAAACCTGTCTCTACTAAAAATACAAAAAATTAGCTGGACACGGTGGCACACGCCTGTAGTCCCAGCTACTCAGAGGCTGAGCAGGAGAATTGCGTGAACTTGACAGGTGGAGGTTGCAGTGAACTGAGATCGCACCACTGCAGTCCAGCCTGGATGACAGAGAGAGACCCCGTCTCAAAAAAAAAATCATTGTCAGTTTAACAGTTCACAGAGAAATAAATTGTCTCCCCAAGTTCTGGAACACTCTGTCTTTCCCACTCAGGCAGTTCCTGTGGAGCTTCCGGCTACCGGGAGAGGCCCAGAAGATTGACCGGATGATGGAGGCCTTTGCCCAGCGATACTGTCAGTGCAATAATGGCGTGTTCCAGTCCACGGGTAAATACGATCATTCATCCTAGTTTATGACAGGCATTTTACACTGGATTCTTTTCTTGGCACCAGTTAATTTCTGAAACAAAAGGCTGAGATTCATGCCTAAAAACATTTATTTAATAATAGTTATAATAATAAAGTGTTGGAAATAATCTGAAAGCCCCACAGTAAGGCACTAGGAATTTAAGTGGTGGTACCTCTGAAATGTGAAATACACCAATATTAAAAACCACGTTTTAGCTGTGTGCAGTGGCTCTCACACTTGTATTGTCAGCACCTTGGGTGGAAGGCCAAGGTGAGAGGATTGCTTGAGGCTAGGAGTTTGAGACCAGCCTGGGAAGCATAATGAGATCCTGTCTCTACAAAAAAATTTCTAAAAATTAGCCAGGTGTGGTGGCTTGTACCTGTAGTCCCAGCTACTTGGGAGGCTGAGGCAGGAGGATCTCTTGAGCCCAAGAGTTTAAGACTGCATGCAGTGAGCTATGATTGTACCCAGCACTCCAGCCTGGGTTGCAGAGTGAGACTCTGTCTCAAAACAAAAAACAAAAACTAAAAAAACCTATGTTGTTGTAAAGAATTTTTATTGGCTGGGCGCGGTGGCTCAAGCCTGTAATCCCAGCACTTTGGGAGGCCGAGGCGGGTGGATCACGAGGTCGAGAGATCGAGACCATCCTGGTCAACATGGTGAAACCCCGTCTCTACTAAAAATACAAAAAACTAGCTGGGCATGGTGGCGCGTGCCTGTAATCCCAGCTACTCAGGAGGCTGAGGCATGAGAATTGCCTGAGCCCAGGAGGCAGAGGTTGCGGTGAGCCGAGATCGCGCCATTGCACTCCAGCCTGGGTAACAAGAGCGAAACTCCATCTCAAAAAAAAAAAAAAGGAATTTTTATTGACATAGGAGAACAATAGTAAGATTAGCAAAAAAGCATATATATGTATCTGTTTGCTTCCAATTGTGTTACAGTATATGTTTGTGAGATAAATTTGTGTTGTGTTATACATAGACACATTTACATACAGGAAATAAAGCAAAGTACTGCTAGATAATGGCATGAAAGGTCATCACAGGTCATACGCATTTTTTTTTGTTTTGTTTTGTTTTGTTTTGTTTTGTTTTTGAGACGGAGTTTCGCTCTTGTTACCCAGGCTGGAGTGCAATGGCGCGATCTCGGCTCACCGCAACCTCCGCCTCCTGGGCTCAGGCAATTCTTCTGCCTCAGCCTCCTGAGTAGCTGGGATTACAGGCACGTGCCACCATGCCCAGCTAAGTTTTTTTTTGTATTTTTAGTAGAGACGGGGTTTCACCATGTTGACCAGGATGGTCTTGATCTCTTGACCTCGTGATCCACCCGCCTCGGCCTCCCAAAGTGCTGGGATTACAGGGTTGAGCCACCGCACCCGGCCTATGCATTTTTTTAATACATTGTGTTTTTCACATTTTCTACAGTGTGTGTTATCCTTTTCAATCTGAAAAAAATAAACAGCTTTAAGTCTTGAATACTTCATGTGCTTTTTTGTGCCTTGCTCCTTTCAGACAGCATTGTGCCCAAGAGTGTGGATTCATCCCATTGTTTTGAGAACATGGTTTTTTAATTTCTGATTTCATCTAGCATCTCTTACTCTTGTAGGTGGGATGTTTCTGATCATCTGAGCATACAACAGCTTCCCTTTGCTTTTCTGTCATCCTTAGACACTTGTTACGTCCTCTCCTTTGCCATCATCATGTTGAACACCAGTCTGCACAACCCCAATGTCAAAGATAAGCCCACGGTGGAGAGGTTCATTGCTATGAACCGAGGCATCAATGATGGAGGAGACCTGCCGGAGGAACTACTCCGGGTAAGCAAGCAGAAGTGGGCCTCATTCAAGCCAAGAAAGTTCACTGGGAACAGGATCGCGTATCGTAGGAAAGAAGAAAGACTTAGGATTTATCAAGGGTCTCTTCTTTTAATTTATTTAACCACGTGAATTTCATGAAGAAATTGGTAGTGAGGCTCAGCTACTGAATCAGGAAGGGGACAGTGGTTTGTAAATACGACACTAAAGGTTTGAATAGAAGTTGAGCTGCCGTCTTTATTTTCTTCCATAAGTCTTACTTATTTTGTTACTGTGAGCTACCTGAAAGCAGAAACGGTCATACTCTTCTAGTTTCAGCACCTAGCAGGCTTGGCTTACTGTAGGCACATAATAAATGCTTGTGGAATGAATTAAGAGAAAGGGGAGGAAGAAAAAATATTTCTAGAATCAGAAACATGAATTGTCATCTTTTATCCCAGAATCTCTATGAGAGCATAAAAAATGAACCCTTCAAAATCCCGGAAGATGACGGGAATGACCTCACTCACACTTTCTTCAACCCAGACCGAGAAGGCTGGCTGTTGAAACTCGGTAAGAACGTCTCTGGGTTAGGGCTCCTAAAGCTGAGACTTAGGAAGAAAGCTCTGTGTGTGTGTGTGTGTGTGTGTGTGTGTGTGTGTGTGTGTGTGTGTATGTGTGTGTGTGTGCGCGCACACGCACACACATTCATGGACACACACACACCATATGGGAAAGGGGGTGGCTTATGGGGGATTCCAGAGAGACTTTGGTGTGAGTTCTATTCTGACAAAGGTCCGTCCACTTCCAAAAAGGAAGTGACTTCCTAGTCATTGCCCCCATGGGACACAGAGACTACTGGGGACAGACTTGACTCCACCATAACTATTGCCCACATGTGTTTGTGCTCCACGTTTCCACTCTTGAATTGGTTGGCCAGGTTTTGTTTCAAGGCATTTCTCTGAGCACCTGGTCCATTTGCCTTCCCTGTCCCCATAACCATTGGGAGGGTGGCCAACCTTGTCCATCTTTCTACTTCCCATCACACAGACTTGTACCTGGCGCTCCTGCCCCCGCCCCAGTGCATCGTCACTTCCTTCTGCATCTGGCTCCCCCACAGGCAGTGTGCATGGCAAGCCTAGAGCCCTTGGCTGCAGCGCAATCCACAGCACTCTTACTCATTCTTGGGCAGCGGTTTTTTTTTTCCCCTCCTTTCAATCCGAATCAGCCACATTAATGATTTTGTTCATTCAAAAAAACTGAAAATGCATTCCTCTTCCCTCTGCCAGAAGTGATGAGCTTATATTGCTGAGATTTGTGGTCATGCCCTGAAGGTAATGGAGTAATTAATAGGAAAAACATTAGTAGGGTTTTCATGCACATTCATGTCCACATGTGATTATTTTATTAGTAGTTTCAGAACAGAGAGAGAGCTCTAGTCTCTCTGGACATAATGATGTCCATTCTTTTTTTTTTTTTTTTTTTTTTTTTTGGCCACTAAGAGCGTACTTTGCTCTGTTGCCTTCTGCCTTAGCCTTTGATGAGTTGGGTTCCCACATTAGCAGGGGCTGTTCTCTCCTCTATTAGCACAACTACTCACTCCGGTGATTAGATATCAGTCCTCTCTTGGCCATTACCAACACGTCTGGGAAGGCTAAAATGGAATCCTTTATTTCTGACTAGTTCAGATAACAATAGACTTTATATTTCCTTTTAAAGGCATATCCCAAGTCCTTGTGCTTATACATAATGACTTAATTCATAAATTCCCCTTAAAGCATCACTTCACCATCAGTTTTAAATATCTCTTGAATTGGCCATCATTTCATATATCTCTAAGCCAGCAGAATCTTTGAAGTTAAGGCTCTAAAATTACTAACCCCACAGGCAGCCTTCCCTTCCACATTCTTATTGCCAAGTGGATAGAGTTAAAAGGAAACCTACTGGAAATGTTTAAAACGTGTCCAAGTTTGGATTTACTTCCCCCTCCAGTGAAATTTGTTTAAATGCTAATACTGAGTGTTAGGTTTGACAGCCCAGATACTAAAATTAGAACAGTACAAAGATTATCTTGGTTCTTACACCAGGATGACATGCAAATTCATGAGGCATCTCATATTTTAAAAAAGAGAAAATTTAACCAAGTGCGCGACTCAGTTTTAGCTCATTGCATTACTTTTTCTAAACCTCCATCAAACCCTTCTAAACTTCGAATATTGTGTTTTCATTGTAGCACACTTAGAATCACTCCTTGTGTTTATGTGCTGCAGAAGGCAGGGCTTCCAGCCATCTGTAGTTGTGTGTATATGTCTGTGTATGCATATAGACATAAGAATGTGTATTCTTGTGTATACACATATGTACATGTGTATTCATGGGTATATGTGTGTGCATTCTCACACACACTTTAAAAAGTGACAGCCATCTAAAGAAAGACATTTAATTTTCCCTGAAATAATCTTAGCTTTCTTTGCTCTGATTCTGGATATACTAATAAACACTGGCTTTGTAAAAGCCAATTTGTGGCATCTTTGGGGCCAGGTTTCCAGTAGTGCCTCAAATCTTGCCTTGATGAAGTGGGACATGGCATATAAGAGCCCTTCATTCCCGTGCCAGACTATAGTGGGATCACTTGCCCAGTTAGTGTTTTCAGTTCAGCTCTCTCCCAGGCAGGCATGAATGTGACTGATACATTGCACTTTAAGATTAAGGAATCGGATTTAATTTCTTTGTTTTAATTTTCTTTTCTCCCTCATTTGTATGTTTCCATGATTTTGGCTCTCCTTTTCCTTGCCCCAAACTCCAGGAGGTATGTAACCCCTCACCCTGCTCGCTCGCTCTGCCTAGGCCACTGTCATTGCTGCAGCATTTTCTTATTTTGTTATTTTTGGTTATTTTGTTTTTTAATTGCCGGTGGTAGTGTTAATGCTGCTTCTAACTTACTGTACAGTCCCTAGGGAACTGGTCAGGATCAGGGGTTTGAAGCAATTTGCATGTTTTTCCTTTTTGGAGGAGTATATGTTATATTCATTACTGAATGCAGTAATGCAAAAAACATACTGAGAGTGGGTTTGTAAAAGCAGAGGAAGTTTCCACTACATTTCATTTGTAATTATTGGCTAAGTCATGCACTATGTTTGATACTCAATTTGACATCCATTAATCAACCCGATTGAAAGTTAATCTCCGAAGTGGGGATGAGGAGAAAGAAGAGAAGGGTCTTTTTTATTCTTTTTTCAAGCTGAGACTTTCCCCAGAGAGAACAAAGTCTTGACTTCCCAAAGCTATGGAAAGCTTCTAATTTACCATGTGGAAACACAAATTAGGGAAAGAATTAAGTTAGACAATACTTAAGACATTTGCCTTTGCATGAAAAGGGGAAATGGTGTTTCCTAAATTCAAAATGATACCGAGTGAAGATTAAAAAAAAAGAAAAGAAAAGAAAAACTCCAAACCGAAAAACCCTTCCTGAAGTCCTTGTGTTGAATTTCCTGGGGATCAGAGAAGGGTATTACAGCCTCGGCTCTGTTTTTATGTTTTGTTTTGCTCCCTCGCTTTTTCAGTGAGTCCTTGTTAAAGCCCCAAATCAGTCTCCCAGTTACGTTGTTGGTGTCTCCTCTCCATTTGCTGGTTTGGGGAAACATGTTTTCCTAGCCCGAGACTCCTCAGGTTTGTACCTAACCATTCCCTGAGCAGTAGCTACGCTTACAAAGAACATCCCCAAACATAGACACTCACTCAGATGTTTTAGGAACTTGCCAGGTTGTTCTTAGCTGTAGGGGAAGATGGCATCTGGCCTTGATACATCGAGGGGTCACAGGAGGGCCTTAAGAGCCGTGCAGTGGGAGGTGGTCCTGTGAGTTCCACAGGGACTGTCCTAGGCGCGCATTGATCTGTCTGCTTGTTCCATGTTTGTTTTTCTTTCCACGTGGAAATGTTCCCCGTGGGGCCACAGTGGTGCTTCTTTATGGTAGAGGTCTCTGTAATGCAGCAAGTTGTCTAGGGAAAATAACCAAGCTTTTGTAATCGGGCAGATAATTTCTTCCGGCTTTGCTTTTTCTCCTTGATTTCCTTCCATCTCGTTCCTTTTAGCATCTGACTCCCTTTTTCCATGATCTCCTAAGTCCCAAGGGTTACCGGGTAGTGTCCTGTGATGGAGTGCATGGGTGGTCAGCATGGGTTGATGTTCCCTTTGTGCTGAGCCTGCATGGGCAACCAGTGGCCCATCAGGCTGGAAGACCAAAGTTCTCAGACTCTGAATTGGCGGGGGTTCCTTTTTAAGAACAAATTGGCTTCAATCCTGAATATAGTCCTTGTCTTCTTTATCCTCCTTATTTATTTTAGTTCTGCCCAGGCTTTCTGGTTTTCCACATGCATGTCATAGTATCCATTGATGGTTTTCTCTTAATTCATGCCATCTAACCTCTAGGGACCAGCGGCAAGGGCTCACATGAAACTCACAAGTCACTGGAGGGAGAGAGTGTCAATTTGCTTGATACAGCACAGGATGGGCAGGCAGATGGCACGTGCTTGCTTACAGCAGATACCCTTGAATAACCTCGATCTGTGTCATTTGGAATCTTGGCAATTAATGATCAGTCATGTAAGCTCACCCAGAGTGCAGCATCTAAACGGTACGAAACACAGACCTGAAAGCCCAGTGGTCCTTTTACTTGTCTGCCAGGACCTACACTAGACATTTTCTTTCCATAACATTATTCACATACTCCCCGTAGGTTTCTCTGGTGTGAGCATGCAGGCAGGTCCTGGCAGTTGGAAATAGTCCCTATAAAGCCACCCTCCTCTTTGCTCAGCTATTTATGATGAGGTCAAGAGAGAAATTATGATCAGGGGGTATAAGATTTACACCCCATGGTCCTTGCTATTTAGGAAGATTGGAAGTGATATTGTCTGTGGGTTAAGTCTTAGCAAAAGAACAGGGCACAAGAAGTGTTTCTAGAATGCCATGCATAGCTTCACAGGTGAAGGCCATAGGGGTAATTTTTGGGTGGTTCATGTTCAGAACATTTTCTCTTGATGGAAGGGAGGCGGAAGAAAGAAAGCCCCTGGTCCTGATGTGACAGCAGGCGTAGCTTCATCAGATAGGCTGTGGTTACATTTTTTCTTCCTTCCTATCTGGCCCAGCATAACTTTATGACCCAACCCCAACTTTTCCTTTTTTATTATTATTTTTTTTGTTTGTTTGAGATGGAGTCGTCTTGCTCTGTCACCTAGGCTGGAGTGCAGTGGTACAATCTCGGCTAATTGCAATGTTCGCCTCCCGGTTCAAGCAATTCTCATGCCTCAGCCTCCTGAGTAGCTGGGATTACAGGCACATGCCACCACCCTCAGCTGATTTTATATTTTTAGTAGAGATGGAGTTTCACCATGTTGGCCAGCTGGTCTTGAACTCCTGACCTCAAGTGATCCATCCACCTCAGCCTCCCAAAGTGTCAGGATTACAGATGTGAGCCACCGCACCATCCATGACCCCAACGTTTTGTACTGAGAAATACTAAAAAGAACCGAGGGAGGCCATTGCCAGCCTCTCAGCTGCCGCCGCCAGAGCTTGTTTCGCCATAGCCGTATTTGCCAGCTGTTTTTTCCCAAAATGGAAAAGACTCCTGAGGCAGCCTCTCAGTACAAGTTGATTCTTCCTTGATAAAGGAATTCTGTTTGGATTCTCACTCAGGACTCGGGAGATTGTGTTTTCAGGACACCAGCACATAAGGTTAAAAGCCCGTGTAGAAGCTCACTCTAATCATGAAGATGAGGAAGAGGGTAAAACCATGGGAATTGGTTCCACGTTCCGAGGAAAGTGTGGATTTGCTTGTGAAGCCTCCCAGCATTGCCCTCCTGATTCCCCCTTCCTTCACTTCTAGTGAAACACTCCTGTGTGCTGGCTGCTTGTCGGTGGCAGAGTAGCCTGCAATAGGGCTGACCCTTCCCTCTTTTTCTGTTCTTTGGCGATTTCTACCACGTAAGCTTTTTGCTGACTCTGGCAAATTTGCATTGTGTGTCATTATTGTCCCTGGGTTTTCCCTCCCAAACCCATGCTCATCCTGCCGTCCTGATTCCATCTCCAGGGTGTCACCTAGACGCGCTTGCTCTGCTTGTACCCACAGACTTTCACTGTGTAAAAGATGCTTGTGTCTCGGCTCTGTGTCTTGTTACTGATGTAGATGTTGTGGTCTCCACGTTCTCCTGATGCCTCTCCCCCCATCTCTGAGGAGAGAGCTGCGTGTGTCGCGGAGCCCGCGCTCGTCTGGTTCTCTCTTGTCGGACGCGCATCTCTGTTTGCTCTGCAGGTGGCAGGGTAAAGACTTGGAAGAGACGCTGGTTCATCCTGACTGACAACTGCCTTTACTACTTTGAGTATACGACGGTGAGCACCTGCTGGTCGGCATCCAGACTAGGGCTGGGCAAGGCCCCGGTTCCAAGACACTTTAATCAGACATGGTTAAGGAGACGGTTGGATTTGCCCTTCTATATCTGTGGGGGATGGGGAGAGTTTAAGCAAAGAAGAACTGAGGTAGATCTCAGAGTTGGGAACCCCTGAGAGGATGTGTGCTCCTTGCAGGGAACTTGGGCTCAGAGCAGGCATCCAGTTCTGTTGGGACGGGAGACGCCTGGCCTGGAGGAAGGAGAGCATGAAATAACATACTAAAAATGGGTTTTGGAGCTGGGCTAGAAAGAATGAATTTGCACTGGTTGCTGAGAAAGAATATGTGGCCCTAATTAAAAGGGAGATGAAAAGAAAAAGGAAATAATCATGATTTAGAAAATTTAAGTGTTCTGGGTTTGCAGAAATAGGATTTCAGAAGAAACAGCCCAAGGGGTAAAATATATAGTAGGGGAAAAGGAAATGAAATGGGAAAAGTTAATTTGAGATTATCTGGAGTTTTAAGAAATTTTGTTGGTTTTTATTCAGTGAGAGAGACAGCTGTAAATTTGAGTACATATATATATATATATATATATATCCTTCTTGTAATAATAGGCAAAGAGAATAAAAATCATAAATTAGTTATTTTTAGAGCTCCCTCTAAGCAGGGTACCTAGAATCCTGGCAGGTTCTTGGTGGGGAGACTGTGGCTCACTGCCCTGTGAGGTGTGTTTTTCCGTTTCTGCCACCTCTCTTGGTCATCGTAAGGGCAAAGCAGGCATACTGCCGCAGCATCTGACTTTTGTCGTAAATAAGTCAAGGCAGTTGAGTTGAGAATGCTCTGCTTTTGTTCTCCAAGTATATCTTCATGGAGCAAAAGTCATTGATTTCACTGAGAAAATTAAGACTTAGAAGTATCTTTTTAAATAATACAGAGAAAAATTGGGCCTAAGTAAATTGAAATCCTGGCTGTATTCACCAGTCACTTATTTAGGACCAAGAAACAGGTGCATGCCTTGGTGTTTTCTGCTGTGAGGCGTGAAGATAGGTTTCCATCGTGTCTGACGCTTGGCGTTGTTCTCCATCCCTGCGGGTCACACACGTGCAGCCTCTCATCCTGGGAGTGCACTTCTAGTCCCATCAGGCTGCGGGCCAGAGCCTCTCATTCTGATGGTGTGCCGACCGTTAGGACAGTGAATCCCTGTGCGAGGACTTCTGGCTGGGATTTTGGGTGTTGTGGGGGCTAATGTCCTGCCCTGCGAGTTCTGCAGTGGCTTTGCTTTCCTGTTCTTACAGTCTTTTCATATGAGAGTAACACACTCCAGATATGCAAAATAGTAAAAAGACAGCTGCTTTCTGTCTCACTCCCGAAGGGCCACTGTGAACATCTTGGTACATTTTTTTCCTGTTTTGTCCGCCCTTCTGTCCCATATTTCACCTTTTTTCTGAAGACATCTACACTAATGATGTCTTTAACGTCCTGTCTGGATTTGTTTCACTATTCTCTGGGTCAAAATGAAACATACATAAGCATGTACATGGTGTACTCCTAAGTACTGGACAATCCTATAGCAATGCTACGAGATTCTAGAATCTTTTGGTTTTTCATGATGCCCACCATAGTCATGTCACCTTAATTCAGCAACATTTATTCAGCAAAGTGCAGCATTTTATCCGGTAATGGAAATACAGAGATAAATACATTTTCTTTTGCTTTTTCTTTTTCTTTTTTTTTTTTTTTTTTTTTTTGTGAGATGGAGTCCCCCTCTGTCTCTGAGGCTGGAGTGCAGTGGGGTGATCTTAGCTTACTGCAACCTCTGCCTCCTGGGTTCAAGCGATTCTCCTGCCTCAGCCTCCTGAGTAGCTGGGACTATTATAGGCATGTGCCACCATACCCAGCTAATTTTTTTTAAGTAGAGATGGGGTTTTACCATGTTGGCCAGGCTGGTCTTGAACTCATGACCTCAGGTGATCTGCCCACCTTGGCCTCCCAAATTGCTGGGATTACAGGCGTGAGCCACTGCGCCCAGCTGATAAATATGTTTCTTAAGACACAGAGGGAGAGTTGTCGGAGTTAAGATGGTAGATCAAAACTTCCACACAGAATTATCTGACAGAGCAAAAGACTGGTAAGTAGGGAAAAACAGGAACCAAGCAGGGAAAGGGTCATAACTAATTCTGTAAAGTTCAGCACGGGCAGCAGGGGAAGCAGCAGCAGCAGTGGCGGCAGTCAGGAGTAGTGTGGAGGGTTTCTTGCTCACAGCCCAGGACGTGACGAGACCCGGAAGTCTCACTGGGTTTCTCAGGTCTGGGAGGAAGCAAATTGAATGGGACTTGTTATTTTTTCCTCTCTGATCAAAGAGTAGTAAAATGTCCTACTGAGTAGAAATTGGTGAAATGGGAAAAGTGAAAAAAACAGCCGTTAATAGACATAAGTCAAGGCCCAGGACAGTATATTCAATGGGGAAAACTGTCCATGGAGGACAATATATTCAATGGAGAAAACTGTCCATGAGCATGATATCCATCCCCAAATACAGGGGTCCTCAACCCCTAGGCCATAGAAGAGTACCGGTCTGTGGGCCTGTTAGGAGCCAGGCCACACAGCAGGAGGTGAGTAGCAGGCGAGTGATGGAAGCTTCATCTGTATTTAGAGCCAGCTACTCCCCATCACTCACGTCAGCTCCTGAGCTCCACCTACGCATGCTAGAGATCTAGGTTGTGCCCTCTTGATGAGAATCTAATGCCTGATGATCTGAGGTGGAGCTGAGGCAGTGATGCTGGCGCTGGGCAGTGGCTGCAAACACAGTGGAACGTTAGCAGAGAGGTTTGACTGCATAGAGACCGTAATAATAAATCAGTTGCTTGCAGACTCATCAAAATTCTATCAGTGAGTGGCAAGTGACAATTAGGCTGCTGCTGGTGGCAGGTTTTATAGTGGCAAGTGAGCTGATGTACTTCAATTGGACAGCTGTATCTGGTGGCAGGCTTGAAGTCAGAAGCCAACACTTCCTTCAGTCAGTGCGCGGCCTACCCATCATTTTATTTACCGCTGCCACCCGCATCTCTTCCCTGCACTACGCACTTGTCTCAGCCACAGTTTTGGTAAGCCCACCCGCTAACCCTAGCCGAAAGGAGTAGAAAACAAATGTCACTGGAGAGCTTCTTTGAAAAGGGGGACAGACCCACTGATTTGACAGCAGAAGACACTAAGACTGCCGACACAAAGCTGCATTTCAAAGAAAACGCCGAGAGTCCTTAAATTACAGGTCACTGCAACAGGTGACCACATTTGCGAAGCCCACTTTGTGGAATATGTGGTGACCAACTAGCCAACAAAGCCGTGAAAACTTCAAAACTGCTTCACTGCATGGAGACCAAGCACCCTGCATTAAAAGACAAGCCTTTGGAGTTTTCAGAATTAAAAAACATCAACACAAAGAGCAGAAGCAATTATTGAAGGCCACCCCTTCATCAAATGTGTCTGTACTGAAAGCATCGTTCTTACCGTCTAATCACTCAGTGCTAAAGCCAGGACTGGCTATGAGTGAGGAGTTGATCCTGCCTGCTGCTAAGGACGTTTGTCATGAGGTCTAGGAGAGGCCGTAGTTCAAAAGGTGGCACATGTTGCTCTTTCCGCCAGTGCCGTAACTAGACGAAGTGATGAAATAGCAGCGGATATTGAGGCACAACTGTTAGAATTAATGAGTCACTGTGGTACTCAGTCCAAGTTGAAAAGTCTGCTGATACTGACAAGACTACAGTGCTTGTTTTTCTGTGGCATGTTTTTCACAGGGATGTGCAGAAGGATATGTTGTGTGTACTTTAGTTGCCATCTAACACCATGGCTGCTATTCAAGTCTTTGAATTATCACGCATTAGGGAAACTAAACTGGTCATTTTGTGTTGTTGTATGCATGGATGCAGCGGCTGCTGTGACTGGACAGCTTTCTGGTTTCACTACTCAGGTCAAAGAGGTCACGTCTAAGTGTGAGTTGATGCAGTATGTCATCTGTAGAGAAGTGCTGGCTAGCCAAAAAGTGTCACCTGAACTTACTGACATTTTACAGGATGTGATTAAAATTACCAACCACGTTAAAAGTATGTCCTAACTCAGGTCTGTTCATGCAGCCCTGCGAGATGGCTGCAAAGCACACACAGCTTCTCTGATACACAGAAGTGAGATGCTTTCTAAAGGGAGATCACTGGCCAGAGTTTCTGAGTTACAAGAGCCACTTCAGAGATTTCCTTTTTAAAAAGTCACTACTAGAACACATTTCAGTGACACAGAATAATATATAGGTTATGAAACTTGTTTACTTGTGTGACATATTAAACCTCAACAAACTTGATCTGTCACTTCAGGGGAGAGGGACACCTGTGTTCAAGTTGGCAGGTAAGCGGCTGCATTCAAAGCCAAACTGGAATTACAGGGGTGATGAGTGAACACCGGGATTTCTGACATTTTTCAAACATGAGCAGAGATCGTGAAAGACATTGAGCCGGGGCCTTCTTTCTCCCAGCTGGTGCAGGATCACCTGCCTCAGCTTTCAGAAGAGCTTGAGCTTTACTTTCCAACCACAAGACCCCCACACTGGGAAGGAATGGATCTGCGACCCATTTGTGAATAAAGCAGGTGAATCAACTTTGTCCATGCTGGAAGAGGATCGACTGCTTGAGATCACAAATCACAGTGGCCTTCAAAGTATGTTTGAGACAACTTCAAATCTCCATATGTTCTGGATTAAAGTAAACATGGAATATCCTGAGATTGCCACAGACGCACTGAAAAGCCAGCTTCCATGTCCAACATCCTATCTTTGTGAAGCAGGATTTACTGCAGTGACAGCAGCCGAATTGAGATTACAGACTAGACTGGACATAAGCACACTGGACACTGACACATTTCCTGTGTCACTGTCTCCATCACCCTCAGATGGGACTGCCTAGTTGCAGGAAAACAAGCTCAGGGCTCCCACTGATCCTACATTATGGTGAGT